AATAGTCCAAAAAATTTTCAGTTACCCAATTATCAACTTTTAAAAATAAGACAAGTAAATATTTATTCTGAAACGTTACCTGAACTTAATTGTAAAAACGCTTTTGTTTACTTTTCTTTGTACGTTCTCATAAATTAACAAAAAACAAAGAGGTAGTTGAAAACAATTGTTGCAATTATAGACTTTAAATAATAATGCCTTATGAAATATTAAATTTAAAAATAATTGTTTTAAAACTAAACGTTTAGCTTTTTTGTTTATGTAAACAAAAAATAAAATGTTCCTACACTTCACAATTTTATAATTTTTATGTTTTACTCAGCTGAGTTGCTTTTCATGTTGATGTAATGGCAAGTATGAATTTTTTGCAAACACCAATTGTAATCTACTTATTTTACGACAGCGTAGGTATTTTAATTAAAACTTATTTGATTTTTGTTTGAAAACGAATGCAATGAAGTCAAACAGCGTAAAAAGTTATATTGACTACTAATCGAAAAGTTCAAGGGTCATAAATAGAAACAAGAAATGAAACGAATACATTTAATAAGAGTTTTTTGAGTATCAATAAAATCCGCAAAATTACGTCCTACTTTTTTGTTTTTTTGACTATATTAAAACAGGACGTCTGACGGCATCAAAATTAATTTTCTTAGCATGAATGCACGTAAAATCAGGAAATCACGTTCATCAAAGGCAAAATAAACCGTCAGGAATCGATATGTCTGATCACGTTTACAATTTGCGACACTTCCTGCTTCTTCCTTAATCAATCTAATAACTTATTGCAACTGATCCAATTAAACCAGCACCTTGTATTATTTTGATGAACTAACATAAAGGACAAACTCACATAATCCTGAGCTGTTGATCRCGTCTTAGACGCTCGTCACGGCCAAGGACCTCCAGGATAATTTGACGTTCTTTATCGGACAATCGTGTTGCTTCTTTTGTTGCTGCTGCAACCAAAGCATGGGAACAAGCTGCATCTTCACAACATGACATCACTTGAATTTGAAAAAAATACAAYACTCGGATTCGATTCCAAATAACTGATTTGAGCGGTTGAGGTGGTAAGACACGTAGTGATAAGAAAACTCACTCACTGTCGGTTTAAAGTTACACGATTTCTAGGAGTTGATGTAAAATGTATGACACATGGCTTTATCAAAGGCGTTATTTTTTAATGGTTTTAACAGTTTCTGAAACAAGTCTTGAACTCTGAGTATTGCAAAAGTTTTGGATGAGTATTTGTAAAATCGGCAGTGTTTTTTACTTTCGACACGTGTCTAGTCGCGAAATTTTGTGCAAGTGTGCAGAACAACGTCCTTCCCACGACACGGTATGATATCAACTGCGGTGGATTTTCTGTTTCCCCTCCCAGAGCTTTTAGCGGGTATCTATAGCGACCAGCAGCTTCCACTTCGTAAACGTGACAGCAGAATTACCCCCTGACGTCATTGGAAAACACCCTCCAACAGGTGGCATTTCTCTACCTATATCTCTTTCGCGGTGGCGCTGAATATGTCCCTGTTACCAATAACTGACTTCAAACTAATTAACAGTGACCTGACCGAAACATCAATGAGTAACATCAAAGAGAGAATGGAAATGGATGTGGAATAGTCGCATCGTTAAAAATAACACAGCGAATCGCATATTTCATAATTTATTCGAATTGGATGTGCGGGAAGTATATTCCTTAAACCCACACCCCAGTGGTTATTAAAGAGTTGCCATTTCTCTATTTTTCTGAAAATACTTTGACTGATTCGATTTTTGTTGCTTCACTTTACCCATGTATTTGCATTTTACAACAAAATACCAAGTATTCAGAAAATCTTTTTAGATAAAATTATTTATTTTTTGAAAAAACTAATTAATATATGATACCACAAAAATGTGATGTTTCTCGAGATACAATTTTTGTATTTTTTTATTTCTCAGTGTAATTAAATCTAACTTTATACCAACAAAAAAATCTGTATCTAATTATAATATACTTTCATAATTCACAGCTAATATTTGAAAAAGGTCGGTTTTATCAATTTGGTGACAGATTTATTATTCTGAGAACAAACTTATTTATTTGACGTTTTTGACAAATATTATTTTAAACAATGGGAATTAGTTGCTAATTGTTTTTTTATTTTTGAAAAATGTATTAGAGAGAATTTAGATTTTTTAACAAAACTGGGAATAAAATACTAAATTTGGGGACACAGTCCAGGGACCAGATTTTCCAAACTAATATACAAAAAGACGAAAGTTGGTCTTTAAAGGGCATTTTTAGTTGGTTTTTTTTGTAAACATTTTTTAATCATACTTACAAAAAATGCCTAATTTGATTGGCTTTTTTGACTTTTTTCTTATCTAGCCAAATTATCTTTCACTGCCTTGGCGAAAACCTGAGAATTTAAAGAAAATACAAAAAAATCTAAAAAATATTATAAACTGTTCAATCTACAGAATAATATAACTGTATTTCATTGCAACACATTATTACAAT